GAAGGAAGGAGGGAAGGAAGGAAGGAGGGAAGGAAGGAAGGAGGGAAGGAAGGAAGGAGGGAAGGAGAGAAGGAGGGAAGGAGAGAAGGGAAGGAGGGAGGGAAGGAAGGAAGGGGAGTAGGAGAGAAGAAACGAGGGAAGGAAAGAGGGAGGGAGGGAAGAAGAAGTAGGACCGTTGTAAGATAAGATGGATCTATGGGATGATAAAAAAGCAATCTTCAAGTATATTGTCAACAGTAGGGAAATTTTTTTATAAATACATATTATTAATAACAGTTATGAGATCATATAATTGTGAATGTATATATGAAATTGATAAAATAAAATAAATTATATATTAAAAAAAATCTCATAGATAAGAAGGAATCGTTTTCATTCAGTGTCACAAAAACACAGCTTTTGCAGAGAACTCAGCTCCGGATCCACAAAAGTGGGAGGGGGATGAAAAGCAGGTGGGGCATAGGAGGTGGGCGGGGCATAGAAAGGGAATGGGTGAAGTCAGAGTTCGGGCCGTGGAGGGTCCCTGATTGGGCTGATCCTCCTTGCTTCTCTCGCTCTCCCTTTGCTGGGAGGGGGCATCCCTCAGCGCCACATGCCGCACCCACCACCTGGGAGAGAAGAACCACTCCTTGGCTTCTCCAAGGGCTGATCCGTCTGGAACCCAAGACTTGGGGACTCACCTGGCCGCTCTACCTGGTCCTCTGAGCAGGTGGCTCCAGTCCTTCGCACACCCTGCCTACGGCTTCTCTTTCAATCTCTTTCAACCAGCACTGGCAGGAGCAGAGGAGGGAGCCAGAGGAGAGCACTTCCTTAGCCCGCTGATCAGCTGTTCAGGCACAAGAGGAAGTGGCTCAGGCCAGCTGGGAGGCAGGCAGGAGGGGTCACCCACCAAGCTGCCTGCAAAGGCACTAGTCCAGTGTTTCTCAACCTTGGCGACTTTCAGTCCTGTGGACTTCAACTCCCAGAATCCCCCAGCCAGCTATGAATTCTGGGAGTTGAAGTCCACAGGACTTAAAGTCGCCAAGGTTGAGAAACACTGCGCTAGTCCCTCTCTCCCACTGCGCTAGTCCCTCTCTCCCACCCCCACGCCCCACCCCAGGGAGGTTTGGATTGGGAAAGGCAGGAGGCCTTCTGGATTCGGCTGCCTTCTTCCTGGGTCAAGGGGCCTCTGTGAAAGGGTCCCAATCAGGGGGTCCCAGCCCCCCTTGCAATGCTGTCTTCCCATGCCAGGAGACGAACTCCAGAGATTCAGGAATCTCGAAGGGGAGAAACTCCCCAAAGTTGCACTTTCTT